AGAGCAAGACTCTGTCTCAAAAAAAAAAAAAGGGAAAAAAGAGAAGGGACAGGATTGGAGGAACCTCAAGTCAGACGGTGGGGCTGGCTCATTTTCAGAATGCTCACAAAGAGATTCGCCTTACCTGGGCACCCTTAACAGATGGCATCACATCTTCGGGTTTTCCTTTATCCAACACTTTCCTGTGTTGCTATAAGTCAGAAGAGAGAATGAAATGACACAGCTGACTACATTTAGTCATGTTACTATTCCTTTGAAAGACAGGATGAAGCAAGCCTTAGTGTTTTGGCTCAAAAGCTTTTAATGACGACAGACTATGGATCCTTTGAAACTATAGCACAGTGTTGTTCAGCAGAACTTTCTGGGAGGACGAAGATGTTCGTACCTGTGCTAGCCACTACCTACTGCTGTGACTATTACGCACTCGAAATGCGGCTACTGTGACTGAGGAACTGAATTCTTAATTTCATTTTAATCAGCCACATGTAGCTAGTTACCATATTAGCTATCAAAGTTCTAGAGCATACGGGATTTCCAGATTGCCCTTCTCCCCTCAAAAAAAACCACCACTTAAATGATTAAACCGTCAAGCTAAAGAGGGCAACAAAGGGTGTTGCTCTCCTAGCAGACAAAAAAATGGCACCCACCTTTTTCAACTTAAACTCCCAGCGAACCCTATAAGATGTTGGTAATCTGTCTAACTGCCTAGAAAGAGCAGTTCTTCAACAAATGGAGACCCAGCCCATCGCCGAAGTTTTCCTCACTGCCCTACCCTTAACTCCAGCTAAACAGGAACCTGGAAGAGCCACCTTTTGGAAAGAAATGATTACTCTATAATCTGACATTAAGAAGCCTCTAAACTCCACCCCTACCAGCCTGCCCCAAGAACCCTGAGGCAGCTCCTTAAGGATTCTAAGTTCAGGCCTCTTAAACAGCTCTCCTGCCTGGCCCACCTGAGTCTTATTTCTTCTCCATCTGTGGCCTTATAGGCACAGCCACTGCTTGGAAAAGCTGGAACTACAGGACAATGAATGGATAGAAGGTAACAATTTAATCAAATGTAAGTACCAGGCAGCCACAAGCCAGCTCAAATCCTCACTGGCATGGTGGGATCCCTCTGGGAGGAATAAACACAGCACTGCCAGACTGTTAGCAAAAATTCACTCCAGACATCAGCCCCAGACCCCTTAATAAGCTGATAAAAAGGCAAGGGACTATATCCCGCTCATTAGGTCATATGATGCATCATAATTGGCATCAATGAAACACAGCAGCATGGGCTGAAAGTGCAATTCCAGTCACACCTTTCAAGTACCTTTTGAACAAGACTTCCTGTACTGTGGAGAACAGTTCTAGGCCTGTTAAGCTACCATTAGTAAGTAAAAACCTGTATTTAAGAGGCATGTTTTATGCTCCAAGGGTGTGACCAGTGGGACCACTCCTATCTGACGCTCACATTTCACTATTTCATACATGTGGCAGAGGAAAACAGGAATATGAGAAGAAACTCAATCGGTTTCGAGACAGTGCAACCCCATATGTGGGGGTGAAGTCTCCAAATCAACACCTTTTAGATAATTAGACAATATAGGTTTACAACCCCTTATCCGAAACCCTAGCGTTTTGAACTTTAAGGGTTTTCAAAGTCTTATAGAGATAACATTGCTTTAAAATACACAACAATCTTCTCTGTGGAGTCTGGGGCAGCACCTTGTCACCAAAGAGGAAAATTCACACTAATTCTGGTCCTGTTAAGTTTATAAAAACACTTTTCATTTTTAGACTTCTTTGGGGTTTTGGAAGCACACATGAGTGATTACGGATATGTAACACAAACTGTGTCCTTCTCTTACTGTTGGTCATACATCTTAGTGTCTATGGTCACTAAATAATGTTGATTCAAGTCGATCTACTCTACTGCGGACACAGTTGAGAATACCTGTTTTCCTTGGAACGCTAGGAAGAATGATCAGGAGGTTACACAGCAATCAGTAGAATTTGCCAGGTAAAAAGATACCAAGTGATGATTCTTATAACCTTTTCCTTCTACAGTAAAATCATCTCACTTGTCCTCATTCATAAAAGAATGTTAATGGCTATGATGAGCACGAGACAAGGCAGGATCTCTTGCAGCCAAAAGAACAAAGAATGTAAAAAAATCAATCTCCTATTTCACACATCAGGACAAAAAAATAAATAAATAAATCCATCAGTGTAGTTGTCTTCCTACTCAGTTTCATTCAGCTTCCTGAAATGGTCAGTTTTAGAGGAATGTCCGAGAGTTGTTGATTTCCATGCCTAACCAGGCTTGTTGACTTGGGAAAAGCCACAAACCAAAAAGCCAAATGTAAGCACTTGTGCAAAATGAGGGCTTACTTCTAGTTACTGGTATTTTTCTCTGGCACTAAATAGGAGAGAGAAACCCATGTCTGATTCCTTTCAACACATGGTCTGAAGCCTCCCTTTACCAAGGTCTTATCCTAAAGTAGGTAGACTTGAGACACACTGACCCGCCAGATGAGACAAAGTTGCAAATCTCAGGTAGTTGTCACCTCCACTCTGCGGCACCCAACTGCTGCCATAAATTTCCATCATGGGCCCTGTCCAAAAAGGAGCTTATTCTAGGGAGAATATAACCAGCCAAGGCTCGAGAGGACAAAGCCTCAAATTTCTCAGGACCAAGAAGCACAAGATGGACTCACTTTCTGCCTGCAGAGAGGCTCCTTCTTGTTCTCTTCGGCCTTTGCATCCTGCTGCGCAGCATCTTTGGGTGTGTTTACTGCTAAAACATCATTGATGGTGGAGCCAACCACCATGATCTTGGCCCCACTGGTCACTTTTATTTCTCTCAATGTTTTATCCTCGGGGACGAGTCCCTTATACATGACTTTCTGCATGGCAGGCGGGAGACCTTGGGAAAAGGTAGAAGGTGGACAGTGAAAGGAAGGAAGGAAAGAAAAATGTATGGATACTACACAACTCTTTGGTTAACAGACCAAAAAGTGTATACTGACTCCACCACCTATTAGCTTTCTTGGGAGATTTGCAACCTCTGAACCTGTTTCTAGAACTGTGGAAGACTTATGAGAGTAGGTCCTTCTATATAGAATTGTTTCAAGGATTAAGAGATGAGACCAATGTGGGGCATTTAGTACGGTGCCTAGCATTCAATAACTGTTCAATAAATATTAGCTCTCATTCTTTCCAAGTTGTTCCTCAGTCATTTAAATCATTCAAATATTAAGTGAGAATCCGCAAGCATCAGAGTTACAGAAGCCGACAGGGACAAAACTCCTGTTCTTAATGGAGTTTACAAGGCTACATGTAGAAAGCTTTAAAAAAAAAAAAAAGTTCAAGGCCAGGAGTGGTGGCTCATGCCTGTAATCCCAGCACTTTGGGAGGCCGAGGCGGGCAGCTAAAATAAACAAACTAGCCCCGCCGGGGTGGGGTGGCGGGCGCCTGTAATCCCAGCCACTCGGGAGGCCAAGGCAGGAGAATCGCTTGAACCTGGGAGGCGGAGGTTGCAGGTAGCCGAGATCGCGCCAGTGCACTCCACCTTGGGCAACAGAGCGAGACTCCGTCTCAAAAAAAAAAAAAAAAAAAAAAAAAAAAAAAAAGAGAAAAGAAAAAGAAAAGAAATTTCAGATGGTAAAGCCCTATAAACAAGGTAAAATCAAGAAACAGAATCAACTGTGAAGAACCAGCATCAAAGTCAATAGCAGTGTTTCCTCAACTTCACTTAGAAGAATTACCTAAGATACTTGCTAAAAATAAATTCCTGGCTACATACCAGACCCACTGAATCAGAACCTCCTGGGAAAGGGCCCGGAAGCTGTAAAACAAGTGCCTTAGGTGATTTTTTAATTAGAGATGTTAGGGCAACATTAATGAGAAACTGGGGTCTAAACGTCAGACTTCGGCTTGAATCCCAGTTCTGCAACTTACTAGCTCTATAAACTTGAGTCTCTTTCCCCAGCTGAGTAATGGGCATCCAAATACTCTTCAGAAGACTGCTGTGAGGATGGGGGTGCCTGATGCAAGGAAAGCCACCAGGTGCCTAGCACGGTGCAAGGGCCATCAGGAGGCGGGGTGGGGAAGACTGGCTGTCAGCGCCGCAGGAATTACCTGTAATCGAGTGGATCTTCTGTTTCAGCTCGGAGCCTGTGCTGTCCAGGGGGAACTTCACCTCATGCTTGGTCTTGTTCCAGATGATCTTCAAGTCCACCAGCTCCCTGCCCGCGCCGCCGCCCGCGTCTTCGCCGTTGCTGACCGAGGCCTGGGCTGCGGGGTCCCCAGGGGGCTGGGCCGGGGCCGGCTGCAGGCTACCTCGTGCGGCGCCGGAGTCCTCGGCCGCCGCCCCCGCCGCGGCTTCAGCCTCCACGCAGTTGAGGGGCCGCGCGGGCGCCTCAGTCGCCACGGTCTCGGCCTCCGTGTCCATGCCAGGTTCCTCCATGCCTGCAAGGGGGTTAGGGGGTGGGCGCTTGCCGCGGGCTGGGCTTGGGAACGGATGCTGTCCGGGCGCCGCCGGACCTCCGTTCCCGAGCCGCGCTTCTCCCCCCAGGGCCGGGCCGCATCCACCAGAGGAGCGCCCGCAACCTCAGCCCGGGCCCGGCGCCCGCCACCCCCGCCGCACTCACCATCCGGGGCCCCGGCCGCCGCCATGATGATTGTGTACAACACCCACCGCTCCCGCAGAGGCCGCTGGGAAGAGGCGAGCTGGCTGAGATTGGCCCCCGCAGCAGCCCCTAATCTCTCACAGCCCAGCCGGAAACAGGTGGAGGTTTCTATGGAGACCCGCCTCCTCCGCTTCCCCGGTCCGGCCCCTGCCACGCTTTAGCTTTCCCAAGCCGAAGGGGGCGGGTCCGGGAAATAGCCCTTTCTCTGGGCTCTGCCCCCTGGTGGCGAGTGCGGCCGCAGCCGTCCAGGGGGGCGTGGACTTTCGCGCTAGGAGGCCTGTGACTTTAAGGGGCAGGGCTGCGCTTGCTGTGGCGGAGGCCGATTGGCTGGAAGCAGTCCCCGGATGTGACGCAGGAGAAGCCCACGTGTGCGATTCCATCGGACATGGCGGCGCTCCTGAGGAGATTGCTGCAGCGCGGGAGGCCCTTAGCGGCCTCTGGCCGCCGCGTAGGACGGCGCGAGGCCAGACTGGGCACTGGTCCCGGGGTTGCGGTGCGAGTGCGGTTCGCTCCCAGCCCCACAGGTAACCTTGGCGGACGTGACACTACAGGCCGAGGCGCCCCCTGTCTCGTCTCCGCCCCCCGAATGTTCCCGAATGAATCCTTTCCGGTGGTGTCAAGTGGGCGGGCGGAGGAGGGTTAAGGCAGCGCTAGCCCATTCTACAGAGGCGGAAACTGAGGTGCAGGAACAGAAATATTTCAAATTGCCAGGAATTTCTTTGTGTTTTTTGTGCCGTCCCATCTCTTCGATCTTTCATGCATTCCGTACATGTGTATTGATGACAAACTGTGTGCCAGGTGTTGTAGACACTGGGATACAGTGATCATTGAGAAAGGTAGGGGCCCTGCTCTCTAGAAGTCTGCACTCCAGTGGCTGCCGCAGACACCTATAAGAATAAATGTAATTTTAGAGTCACATGTGCCATGCGGGAAGTGAAACAGGACAGGAGACTGGGAGTTGAAAGAAGGGCGCTCCAGAAGGCTTTACTGAGCGGGTAACATTTGAGCTGAGATCCAAATGACAAGAAAGAGCACGCTACGTGAAGCCTATAGAAGGAACCTTCTGGAGGCCGAGTGGGGTGGCTCAAGCCTGTAATCCCAGCACTTTGGGAGGCCGAGGCGGGTGGGTCACTTGAGATCAAGTGGGTCACTTGAGACCAGTCTGACCAACATGGTGAAACCCCGTCTCTACTGAAAGTACAAAAGTATCCGGGCATGGTGGCACAAGCCTGTAATCCCAGCTACTTGGGAGGCTGAGGCAGGAGAATCACTTGAACCCGGGAGGTGGAGGTTGCAGTGAGCCAAGATCTCGCCATTGCACTCCAGCCTGGGCAACAAGAGAAAACTCCGTCTCAGAAACAAAAAAGGAGGAATCTTCTGGGTAGAGGAAATCGCAGGTACCAAGGCACTGTGCTAGTGTTGTTGGGATCTTAGCAAGCTAGAGGGTGACAGAGGCCCATTTTATAGCCTGTTGGAGATCTTGTCAGGGCCTTCTGGTTCCCACCAGTAAGGCTACCTTCTACCTTCTCTGCACTGAGTGTGCCTCTCATCCGAAATGCCGGGATGAACATACAAGGATCTTTGTGGCAAAATCCCAGCTGTACATAATAGGATCTTTCTGGTGGTCAGTATAGCGTAGAGCAGTGCCTTTCAAACCATCTGTGGTAGAAGTGCTGGTTTTAAATTTCCAATCAATTGTGTCAGTATTTCCACAAAGTTAGTATAAATTAATGACCAGAAAAATAAAAATTTGAAAACATCCAAAATACAAACCCATCTCTTTTTATTTGGGTTAGCAGAGGTAAAATCATGCTGTCAGGTTGCTATGTAAGTTTCTGCAGCCTGGCCAACATGACAAAACCTTGTCTCTACTAAAATATAAGAATTAGCCGAGAATGTGGCCCAGGCCTGTAATCCCAGCTACTCAGGAGGCTGACACACGAGAATCGTTTGAACCCAGGAGGCAGAGGTTGCAGTGAGCCGAGATCGTGCCACTACACTCCAGCCCAGGTAACAGAGTGAGACTCCATCTCAAAACAACAACAACAACAAAAGTTTCTAAACCTTTACTCTCAGTTTCTGTACATGATTGTGAACTGACAACTGTTTTCAGACCAGCACTGGATCTCACACTTTGCTTTGAGCACTATGTAGAATGCCAAAGCCTGGGATTGCCTGGATACAAATTTCTGTCTTTGCCATTTGTTAGATGTGTAACTTACTAGATGTGCAAATTATTATTATTATTTGGAGACAGGGTCTGGCTCTGTCGCCCAGGCTGGAGTGCAATGGCGCAATCTTGGCTCACTGCAACCTCAGCCTCCGGGGCTCAAGTGATCCTCCCACCTCAGCCTCCCGAGTAGCTGGGACTACAAGTGTGTGACCACTATGCCCAGCTAATTTTTGTATTTTCTTGTAGAGATGGGGTTTTGCCATGTTGTCCAGGCTGGTCTCGAACTCCTGAGCTCAAGTGATCTTTAGCCTCCGAAAGTGCTGGGATTACAGGTGTGAGCCACCGCACCCGGCCTAGATGTGCAAATTATTTAATGAATCTGAGCCTCACTTTTACTATTTGTGAAAACAGGGCTAATAGTGTCTGTCTTATGGGGTTAAGCTCATGCAGCTGAACCAATTAGCAAGGTCTAGTGCACCCAGAAGGCACTTAATAAATGTCCTCTATTATGATGATTATAATTTTTATTTTCTTGCTCATTTGCGGGAAAAGCCCATGTGGGAAAGGCTTTTGACTATAAACAGATAAAAGAATTACCAGGCACAGATCATTACAGTAGCTGAAATTATTTGAGGGTTTACTTTGGTCAGCATTTAGACCTGAGAGCAACCCTATAATGAGGAAAATTCTTATTTTTTTGCTCTTAATCCCTCTGACAGTTGAGGAAATAGAAGCTCATAAAAGCTGAGTTCCTTCCAAAGGGGTAGCAACTAATAAATGGTGGATGCAGAATTTGACTCCAGGTGTGCTTAATGTAAGAGGCTTTGTTTCTAGCAGCTGGGTCCTTCTTTTGTCCTGGGGACTCTTGGGACCCAGTGCCACTGAATACCACTGGTTTTCTGGTGTCCTTGCAGTAACTATCCAAAGGTTACACACATCAGTGTTGAAGCAGGGTCGGCCTGGTCCCAGAAGAGCTTTTCCTCTCCTCTGCTGCCTCTTTTACCTGTAAATGTAGATGAGCTCGTTGTGGAGACTTAGGGCTGTGGGCTGGACCAAAGAAGGTAGGGTAAGAGGTAATGACAACCCTGGAAAAACTGTTAACTTTCAGTTTTCAGACAGGAATGATGAAAAAGGAAAATCTTATGAGTTTAAAGTGATGAAGACAAATATAGTGGAATCAAACGCTACTGTTGGTTAGTGTGTAAAGCCAGCAATTAGGGTGAAAATCTTGGCAAGGTGTGGTGGCTCATGCCGGTAATCCCAGCACTTTGGCAGGTTGAGGTGGAAGGATTGCTTGAGCCCAGGAGTTCGAGACCAGCCTGGGCAACATAGTGAAACCTTGCCTCTAGAAAAAAAAAAAAGTACAAATATTAGCCAGGCGTGGTGGCATACACTTGTAGTTCCAGCTACTCAGGAGGCTGACGTGGGAGGATTGATTGAGCCTGAGAGGTTGAGGCTGCAGTGAGCCATGACTGTACCACTGCACCTGGCCCACAGTGTGATTGTACAGTATTTTAAATTTCTAGTTCGTTTGTAATTAATTTTTTTCCCAGCACACATCACTGAATTTCTGTAAGTTAAATGTACGTGATACGGCCTCAATGAATAACCCCGCTTCTCTTTCAGGCAAAACTTGGCCTTGAGACAAATATCAAAATAGAGTGGTGGATGCGGTTGGTGGATCCCAGCACTTGGGAGACCAAGACTGGGGGATCACTTGAGGTCAGGAGTTCAAGACCAGCCTAGCCAACATGGTGAATGCCTGTCTCTACCAAAAATACGAACATTAGCTGGGTGTGGTGGCACGCACCTGTAGTCCCAGCTACTTGGGAGACTGGGCATGAGAATTGCCTAAACCCAAGAGGCAGAGGTTGCAGTGAGCCAAGATTGTGCCACTGCACTCCAGCCTGGGTGATAGAGCGAGACTCTGTCTTAAAAAACCTACAAAAACCTCCTGGGCTCAAGTGATCCCCCTGGCTTTGGCCTCCCAAAGTGATAGGATTACAGGCGTGAGCCAATGTGTCCTGCTGGTCTTTGAAATTTATTGCAACATTCTGTCACAGTAGTGCTTACTTGCCCCTTGCTGAGGCCTATTAGCTCATCTTCCCTGTCTTATCTGAGCTGTTCTCTTCTCCAGGCTTCTTGCACCTGGGTGGCCTCCGCACTGCCCTGTACAACTACATCTTTGCTAAGAAGTACCAGGGGAGCTTCATCCTGAGGCTGGAGGACACAGATCAGACTCGCTTTGTGCCTGGGGCAGCGGAGAATATTGAGGACATGCTGGAGTGGGCAGGTGAGCCTGGCAGAGAAAGGATCTTTCTGCAGGGGAGGAACAGGAAGCAGGAAAAGGAGCCTGTGGGTCTTCTCATGGAGCTCAGGGTGGAAAATGAGGAGTTTCTGGAGAAATAACTGTGTTTGTACTGCCCGGGGTGGCAGATGCCACCTGAAAAAAATGCTGCAGCTCTCTGAAACACAGCTCCAAGACTGGTTTCTTTATTTTTTAATTTTTTAGAGTCAGGGTCTCATTCTGTTGGCTAGAGTTCCATGGCACAATCATAGCTTATTGTAGACTTGACCTGGGCTCAAGTGATCCTCCCACCTTAGCCTCCCAAGTAGATGGGACTACAGGCACGCACCACCACCCCTGGCTAATTTTTAGTTTTTTATTTTTTTGTAAAGATGAGATCTCGCTGTGTTGCCCAAGCTATTCTCAGACTCCTGGGCTCAAGCAATCCTCTTGCTACAGCCTCCCAAAGAGCTGGGATAACAGGTGTGAGCCACTGACAAGGCTGTTTTGAGATTCCTATTTTCACCTCAGAATCTCAAGTCCATTCCCTACAGGGGCCAGGCAGGAAACACAGACCAAGTGGGAATTGGAGGAGCTGGGCTGGTGCTGAGCTGTGGAAACCACATCTCATCCAGAGGAGGGAGTGCCTCTGAGCTCCAGCTCCTTGTACCTATGCGGGAACGCTGGCCCAGCTTGTCCAGTCTTCTGAGTTCCAACAAGAGCCAGAAATAGTTTTTCTGGATGAATACTTACCGTTATTAAATCTGGGCTCAGATTTTTTTTTAACCACATTGTATAAGCCACACAAAACACGTACAGCGAGCCGGGCGCGGTGGCTCAAGCCTGTAATCCCAGCACTTAGGGAGGCCGAGACGGGCGGATCACGAGGTCAGGAGATCGAGACCGTCCTGGCTAACACGGTGAAACCCCGTCTCTACTAAAAAATACAAAAAACTAGCCGGGCGAGGTGGCGGGCGCCTGTAGTCCCAGCTACTTGGGAGGCTGAGGCAGGAGAATGGCGTGAACCCGGGAGGCGGAGCTTGCAGTGAGCTGAGATCCGGCCACTGTACTCCAGCCTGGGTGACAGAGCGAGACTCCGTCTCAAAAAAAAAAAACAAAAAAAAAACACGTACAGCTTCTGAAGTTGATCTTGTGGGAAGTTTAATCCTGAGGACAGCTAAGGTTAGGGAGAACAAAGAGGAGTGTGTTTCCTTTTCCTGGGTTGACAGTTGTCTACCTATATGGACAGGTGTGACTAGAAAAGGGGAGATTCCCAAGGAAAAATACCAAGACTTTGCTAGTCTAGAAATTGAAAAGAAAAAAGAAAAATCCCAAGACTGTTTTGAGATGTGTGTTCCAATCTCAGATAAATTACTCACTAGACTCTGGATTCCTAAAGAGTACAAAATGATTTCATATCTTTTATTGTAAAAGGCTTTAGCAGGTGTTCAGTCAAGGTCCGCTGAATAAAGGATTCTATACAAGATCAGATACTGTGATCAAGGGACCATTCTAGGTGTTAGAGACATTTAACAAAGACCCTGCACATGGCCAGGTACGGTGGCTCGTGCCTGTAATCCCAGCACTTTGGGAAGCCAAGACGTGTTAATCACTTGAGGTCAGGAGTTCGAGGCCAGCCTGGCCAATATGGCAAAAACCCCATCTTTACTAAAAATACAAAAATTAGCTGGTATGGTATGGTATGCCTGTATTTCCAGCCTCTTGGGAGGCCGAGGCACAAGAATTGCTTGAACCCAGGAGGCAGAGGTTGCAGTGAACTGAGATCGCGCCGCCGTACTCCAGCCTGGGCGGCAGAGTGAGACTGTCTTAAAAAAATAAAAATAAAAAAAAAGTCTGTATGCGGTGGCTTGCACCTATAATCCTGTAATCTCAGCACTTTGGGAGGCCAAAGCAGGTGGATCACAAGGTCAGGAGATTGAGACCATCCTGGCTAACATGCTGAAACGCCATCTCTACTAAAAATACAAAAAACCAGCCAGGCGTGGTGGCAGGCAGCTGTAGTCCCAGCTACTCGGGAGGCTGAAGCAGGAGAATGGCGTAAACCTGGGAGGCAGAGCTTGCAGTGAGCCTAGATCACGCCACTGCACTCCAGCCTAGGCAACAGAGTGAGACTCCGTCTCAAAAAAAAAAAAAAAAAAAAACCCTGTGCTCAGTGACAAGGGGAAAGACAGATAAGTGGATTAGTTATTTCTCTTTTTTAAAATTTTTTTAACAAACAAAGTCTTATTCTGTTGCCCAGGCTAGAGTGCGGTGGTTCAAACACAGCTCACTGTAATCTCAAATTCCTGAGCTCAAGGGATCCTCTCACCTTAGCCTCCTGGGTAGCTGGAACTATAGCTGTGTGCCACCACGCCCGGCTAATTTTATTAATTTATGTTTTTGTAGAGATCCGGTCTCGCTATGTTACCCAGGCTGCTGTTGAACCCCTGACCTCAAGTAATTCTCCTGCCTCGGCCTCCCAAAGTGCTGGCATCACGGTCATGAACCATCACTCCTGGCTCCTAATTCATTCTTCATAGGATATTAAATGATAATAACCAGTATGGAGAAAAGAGTAACAGGCTTAGAAACTGGGGCGAGGGATGCCCTTGTAGATAGGGTGGTCTCCTCTTAGGAGGTGACGCTGGAGCAGAGACCTGCATGAAGTGAGGAGGCAGCCCCGTGGTGACCTGGGGGAAGATGTTCAAAGCGAAAAGAATAGCCAATGCAGAGGCCCCATGGAAAGAAAGTTCTGGATGTATTTGAGGAGCATCAAAAAGACCAGCTTGGTCTAACCATAGTGAGCAGAATGACCAGGGATGTGAGGATAGAAGGCTTGCCAGGCCGGGCACAGGGGTTCCTGCCTGGAATCCCAGCACTTTGGGAGGCCAAGGAGAGAGGATCACTTGGACTCAGGAGTCCAAGACCAACCTGGGCCATGTAGTGAGACCTTGTCTCTATAAAAAATTATCCGGAGGTAGTGGTGTACTCCTATAGTCCCAGCTACTTGGGAGGCTGAGGTGGGAGCATCACCTGAGCCTGGGGAAGTTGAGGTTGTAAGCTGTGATCATGTTACAGGATTCCTTCAGTGCCACTTTGCCAGCCAGAAATCTCTGCAGCTGCCGTCACCTCTGTCGGGCCTTGCTTGGGCCTTCTGGGCCCACTTGGCCCAGCAGGCCGCACTTGGCTCATGCCCACTTGGATCCCACACCTGCTGTGGCCCCACACTCGGCCCATGGCTGGACTGGATGTGCCACTGGGTGGCTTCTTTGTTGGGTGCAGGCATCTAGATGAGGGGAACATGGTGGCACCCAAAAACTTGGGAGATGCCAGCAGTTGTGGAGCTCCAAGGGGTGTTACGGCTCTTGTTTGGGGAATCCTGAGGTCCGAGCCCCCAGCACTGTCTCAGCTCTTCACTCCTTTAGCTTGGTGAGCAGGAGCATGTTACAGCTCTCTTTCTCCCGCAGTCCTTTGAGCAGGAGCATGTTACAGCTCTCTCCCATAGTCCGGTGAGCTGGAGCGTGTTACAGCTCTCTTTCTCCCTAGTCCAGTGAGTGGGAGTGTGTTACAGCTCTTTTATTCCCATCACCCGCAGCTTGGCGAGTTTTGGGTTCTTGTCCTGCAACCAAGAGGAAGAGGTGTGCAGGTACTGTAGAGTGAGTACGGCAGAGAAGAATTTTACTGAGTGACAGAAGGGAAACTCTCCACTGCGAGAGTGGGCCCTGAAAGTGGTAGCCATCTGTGAGGCTGAGTCTGGTGTTTTTATGGGCTTAGAGTTGGGGAGTGCCTGCCGATTGGTCCATGAGTGGTCTTGGAAAAAGGACCATTCAGTTGGTTTAGACATATCATCCAGAAGGAACCAATCAAGAGAGAGTGGGTGAGACAGAGAAAGAAGTTCTCACTCCAGTCATGGACTCTATCCTGAACTGACAGTTTGGTTTTCAGGCTTTGGGCTGTCTTTGGCTTAGAGGTCAGATTTCACCAGGGATTGTCCGTGACTGCATAGGAATTCGTCTGTCTCCTGTCAGTCATGCCATTACACTCCAGCCTGAAGTGACAGAGTGAGACGCTGTCTCAAAAAAAAAAAAAAGAAGGCTTTCCAGGAGCCAAATTACCTGGTGCTTCACAGACCGAGATGAAGGCTTCACTTTCACGGAGGATCTGCTACTTATCAGGTACCATGCCAGGCATGAGGGATACAGTGATGACCAGCGCTGATGGTGCTGGGCCCCACCCTCCTGGAACTCCTGTGGCAGCATCATTGTGAGAATGAGGCTTGCAACCCAGACCTTGTCCCCCACCCTGGTATTTTGTCGAGGCAGAGGACAGGTATTCAGGCACCCTGTGGTGGCTGACTTCTAGAGCACCTTGCTTTGGGAGTCATTCTTTCTTTTCTTATGTTTTTCATTTTATTGATTGATTGATTGAGATGGAGTTGCTCTGTCGCCCCGGCTGGAGTGCAGTGGCGCCATCTCGGCTCATTGCAAGCTCCACCTCCCGGGTTCACGCCATTCTCCTGCCTCAGCCTCCTGAGTAGCTGGGACTACAGGCGCCCACCACCACACCCGGCTAATTTTGTTGTTGTATTTTTCGTAGAGACGGGGTTTCACCATGTTGGTCCGGATGGTCTCGATCTCCTGACCTCGCGATCCGCCTGCCTCAGCCTCCCAAAGTGCTGGGATTACAGATGTGAGCCACCACGCCCGGCTATTATTATTTTTTTAGAGGCGGTGTTTCACCGTCTAGATGGTGGTTTCGAACTCCTGGGTTCAAATGAGCCACCTACCTCGGCCTCCCAAAGTCCTGGGATTACAGGTATGACCCAGCATGCCCGGCCTTTTTAAAAAATTGACATACCAAGCCTGTAATCTCAGCACTTTAGGAGGCCGAGATGGGCGGATCATGAGGTCAGGAGATCGAGACCATCCTGGCGAACACGGTGAAACCCCGTCTCTACTAAAAAAGTACAAAAAACTAGCTGGGCGAGGTGGCAGGTACCTGTAGTCCCAGCTACTAGGGAGGCTGAGGCAGGAGAATGGCATAAACCCGGGAGGCGGAGCTTGCAGTGAGCTGAGATCTGGCCACTGCTCTCCAGCCTGGGCGACAGAGCGAGACTCTGTCTCAAAAAAGAAAAAAAAAATTGACATATAAGCCAGGCACAGTGGCTCTCGCCTGGCTCTCACCTGGGGTGGCTCTCCCAGCACTTTGGGAGGCCAGAGCAGGTGGATCACAAGGTCAGGAGTTCGAGACCAGCCTGGCCAACATGGTGAAACCCGTCTCTAGTAAAAATACAAAAACTAGTTGGGCGTGGTTGGTGGCGCATGCTTGTAATCCCAGCTACTCGGGAGGCTGAGGCAGGAGAATTGCTTGAACCGGGTGTTGGAGGTTGCAGTGAGCCGAGATTGTGCCACTGCACTCCAGCCTGGGTGACAGAGCTAGACTCTGTTGTGGGGGAAGAAAAAAAATGACATATAATTCCCATAATATGAAATTTATTATATCAAAGTGTACAGTTCAGTGGTTTTCAATGTATTCACTGTGTTGTGCGACCATCACCACTAATTCCAGAACGTTTCCATCACCCCTAAAAGAAACTCTTCCTTATTAGCAGTCACTCTCCATTCTACCCTCTCCTACCGCCTGGCAACTATCAATCTCTTTATGTCTTCCGACTACCAATCTCTTTCTGCCTTCCGACTTCCAATCTCTTTCTGCTTTCATGGATTTGCCTCTTCTGGACGTTTCATGTGAATGAGATCATACAACATTTGTCCTTCTGTGACTGGCTTCCTTCACTTACCATAAGCTCATCTGTGGTCTGTCAGTGCTTCGTTTCTTTAATATTCATTTATAGCCAAATAATATTCATTGTATGGATATACTACGTTCTGTTTATTCATCACTAGTGGATGAACATTTTGGTTACCTCTGGTTTTTGGCTGTCGAATAAAACTCTATGAACGTTTACTTGCCAGTTTTTAAATTAACAGGCTTTCCGTTCTCCTAGGGGAGTCCCTCTTAAACCCTGGGGCATTCCAAGATACCACATTAAAGAGACTTGTTTAGCATTAGATCAAGAAGGGACCCCCCCCAAATTTACCCGATTCAGCCCTCCTTTCTGACAAATGAAGAAATGGAGGTCCTGTGAGAGGGAGCCAAGTAACATGATAATCACAGCTGGCCGGGTGCCGTGGCTCATGCCTGTAATTCCAGCACTGGGATGCTGAGGCAGGAGGATCACTTGAGCCCAGGAGTTTGAGACCAGCCTGGGCAACATAGGCAGACCTTGTCTCTGTAGAAAACTTAAAAAAAGTTAGCCAGGCCTGGTGGCATGTACCTGTAGTCTCAGCTACTTGGGAGTCTGAGGTGGGAGGATTGCGTGAGCCTGAAAGGTTGAGGCTTCAGTGAGCTGAGATCATGCCACTGCACTCCAGCCTGGGCAACAGAGTGAGACCCTGTCTCAAATAAATAAATAAATACCAAAGCATAGAGAGCACTGAGCACAGGCCACATGATGAGTACTTTACTTACATCGTCGTATTCTAGTCTCATGATGATCCTCATGAGAAAGTTACTACTTATTTCCTTCTTTGACAAATGAGTACCCAGAGCCCAGAAAGATGACTTCCCAAGGTGTCTGAGCTGTCTGGTACATTTGAACCCAGGCACACTCAGCTCAGTTTGTGTTAGCATTGAGGGTAGCAGGGTGAACAATGTCCTTATTTTCCCAATTCATTTGAAAGCTCTTTGAGGGCAGAAACACCATCTTCCAGTTCTCGTGTCCCTGTGCCCTCTCCTGAAAGCATTCATAATGAAATTTATCCTATGTAACCAGAGGGAATTGGACTTTGGATTGGGAGTTTGGCTTACAGTAGATCGTATTTAGTCTATAGCATATATTGAAACTGTCCTAAATATACACCACTGGGCTAAGCACTTGTAAGCTCTGACACATTTATTCTCACAGTTCCCTCTGCACAGGAGGCTGCTAGCTCCACTTTTCAAAACAGGAAACTGAGGCTTAGAAAGACTAAGTCTAGCTGGGCATGGTGGCATATGCCTATAATCCCAGCTACTTGAGAGGCTGAGGTGGAAGGATCACTCGAGCCTAGAAATTGGATACTGTAGTGAGCTATGATTGCACTACTGCACCCTAGCCTGAGTGACACAGCAAGACTCGCTTTCTACTAAAAAATTAGCCAGATGTGGTAATGTGCACCCGTAGTCCTAGCTACTCGGGAGGCTGAGGCGGTGGGGTGGCTTGAGCCTGGAAGTTCAAGTCTGCAGTGTGCTGTGATCACGGCACTGCACTTCAGCTGTGTGATAGAGTGCGACCCCATCTCTTAGAAAAAGAAAGGCTAAGTACTACAAACAGCAGTGTGATGAGTGGTTGAGTGTTGGCTCCGGTGCCCATTAGTCTGGGTTTGAAGCTGATCGTGCCCCTTCTACTCGGCCAGGTGACAAAGCACCTCTGTGCCTCAGTGTCCTCCTTACAGAATGGGGAAATAACTGCACCTACCTGCTAGGGTGGGTTTGAGGCTTCAGGGAAAAGTGTCTTTTTTTTTTTTTTTTTTTTTCCTGAGACAGAGTCTTGCTCTGTCACCCAGGCTGGAGTGCAGTGGCGCAATCTCGGCTCACTGCAAGCTCCGCCTCCCAGCTTCACGCCATTCTCCTGCCTCAGCCTCCCAAGTAGCTGGGACTACAGATGCCCACCACCACGCCTGGCTAATTTTTTGTATTTTTAGTAGAGACGGGGTTTCACCGTGTTAGGCAGGATGGTCTCGATCTCCTGACCTCATGATCCGCCTGCCTCGGCCTCCCGAAGTGATGGGATTACAGGCGTGAACCACCGCACCCAGCCAAAAGTGTCTTTTATGGCACTCAGCACCCTGGTACTCACACACTGATAGCACATTGGGATCCATTGTCACAACTACTAAGTGGCAGAACCAGGAGTCCAACCAGGGCCTGATGGGCTGTTCTCTGAACCACAATTTTTTTCTCCTAAGTCAGCTGTTCCCAGGCCTGGGCTTGTTTCTCCCTCTCCAGGGAAGCAATGGATTGAGAGGACATACAATTGGGGGTGTGGACTTCGGAGCCCTACACCTCTGTTTGCTCCTTAGTCCACGAGCCCATGCAACTTTCAGTGCTTTACCTCTGTGTTTTAACTTTTCATCTCCAAAAGGGACATTGGGCCGGGTGCAGTGGCTCACACCTATAATCCGAGCACTTTGAGAGGCTGAGGTGGGTGGATCACCTGAGGTCGGGAGTTCAAGACCAGCCTGGCCAATGTGGTGAAACCCTGTCTCTGCTAAAAATACAAAAATTAGCTGAGTGAGGTGGCACATGCTTGTAATCCCAGCTATTCTGGTGGCTAAGGCAGGAGATTTGCTTGAACTTGGGAGGTGGAGGTTCATGTGAGCCAAGATTGCACCACTGCACTACAGTCTGGGCAACAGAGCGAGACTCTGCCTCAAAAAGAAGGGGGGTCGGCGGGGGGGTAGGGCTGGGAGCGGTGGCTCACCTGTAATCCCAGCACTTTGGGAGGCCGAGGTGGGCGGATCACCTGAGGTCGGGAGTTCAAGACCAGCCTGACCAACATGGAGAAACTCCATCTCTATTAAAAATACAAAAATTAGCCAGGCATGGTGGCACATGCCTGTAATCCCAGCTACTCAGGAGGCTGAGGTAGGAGAATTGCTTGAACCCAGGAGGCGGAGGTTGCCGTGAGCTGAGATCACGCCACTGCACTCTAGCCTGAGCAACAAGAGTGAAACTCTGCCTCAAATAGAAAAGTCGGGGGGGACATTGTACTCATGCCAACCTTATGGATTGTTACAAGGATTAAAGCTTTAATATATGCATAAAGCACTTAGAGCAATGCCTGGGAACAAGTGCTGTGTGCACCTTAGCTGTCATTATGGCCTGTGTTCCAGGCATCCCCCCTGATGAGAGCCCCCGCCGGGGTGGTCCTGCTGGGCCCTATCAGCAATCTCAGCGATTGGAACTGTACGCCCAGGCCACAGAGGCGCTGCTGAAGACCGGAGCTGCTTATCCCTGTTTCTGCTCACCCCAGCGACTGGAGCTCCTGAAGAAGGAGGCCTTGCGGAACCACCAGATGCCCCGGTAAGAACCCCAACTTGTTGCATATGCCTCACTGACATTGGGTGTGTTTGTTACCTGGTGCTGCATAAGAAATTTCCTTAAATGTGTATTATCTCTCAGTTTCTTTGGGTCAGGCATCTGAGTGTGGCCTCACCAGTTCCTTTGGCTCAGGGATTCTCAAAGCCACAGGCAACTACAGGTCCTAGCCAGTCCTGGGGTTCTCTTAAGGCTTAGCTTGGGGAGGATCTACTTCTGTCTCCTCTCATAAGGCTATTGGCCAGCCTCAGGTCCTCGCTAGCTGTTGCCTGGAGACATCAGTTCTTTGCCATGTGGGCCTCTCCATAGGGCAGCTCACAGCATGGCAGCCAGCATTCCTCAAAGCCAGCCAAGGAGAGAGTGAGCAGGTACAAGCTGGAGTCCACCTAGTTGTGGTAAAAGCTCACCACTTTTAGAGGCTGTGTATTCCTTATCTGGAATGCCTGGGACCAGAAGTGTTTTGGATTTTGGATTTTTTGCATATTGAGATATCTGCATAGATATGAGATACCTTGGGGATGGGACCCAAGTCTAAACATGAGATTCTTTTATGTTTCATGTACCTTATACACAGGCTGAAGGTGATTTTAGGCAATATTTTAAATAATTTTGTGCATGAAACAAAGTTTTGACTATTTTGACTGTAGCCTGTCACATGTGTTTGGGTGGTCAATTTTCTACTTATGGCATCATGTCAGCACTCAAAAGATTTCAAATATCGGATCAGTTGTGGCCTTTTTTTTTTTTTTTTTTTTTTGAGACAGAGTCTCACTCTGTTGCCCAGGCTGGAGTGCAGTGGTGCCATCTTGGCTTACTGCAACCTCTGCCTCCCAGCTTCAAGCAATTCTGCCTCAGCCTCCTGTGTAGCTGGGACTACAGTCGCATGCCGCCACAACTGGCTCATTTTTGTGTTTTTAATAGAGATGGGATTTTGTCATGTTGCCCAGGCTGTTCTCAAACTCCTGAACTCAAGCAGTCTTCCCACCTCAGCCTCCCAAAGTGCTGGGATTGCAGGCATGAACCACTGTACCTGGACCATTGTAGCATTTCAGATTAGACATACTTGGCATTATTTTTGTTAATTAGACAGAAGTCACTAGGCCCAGCCCACACACAAGGGGAGGGGACTACACAAGGACAGAAACACCAGAAGGCGAGAATGACTGGGGGCCATGTTAGAAGCTGCCTGACACATTGGGTCTCAGAATGTAATGTGTAAAGTAATTTTAATTACTTGTTATTTTGAATGGGCAAAATGTTTTATATTTAAAAGGTCCACAGGGCGGACATGGTGGCTCACGCCTGTAATCCCAGCACTTTGGGAGGCTGAGGTGGGTGGATCATGAGGTCAGGAGTTCAGGATCAGCCTGGCCAATGTAATGAAACCCCGTCTCTACTAAAAATACAAAAATTAGGCCGGGCGCAGTGGCTCAAGCCTGTAATCCCAGCACTTTGGGAGGCCGAGACGGGCGGATCACGAGGTCAGGAGATCGAGACTATCCTGGCTAACATGGTGAAACCCCGTCTCTACTAAAAATACAAAAAACTAGCCGGGCGTGGTGGCGGGCGCCTGTAGTCTCAGCTACTTGGGAGGCTGAGGCGGGAGAATGGTGTGAACCCGGGAGGCGGAGCTTGCAGTGAGCCGAGGTCACGCCACTGCACTCCAGCCTGGGAGACACAGCGAGACTCCGTCTCAAAAAAAAAAAAAAAAAAAAAAAAATACAAAAATTAGCTGGGCATGGTGGTGTGCCTGTAGTCCCAGCTGCTCAAGAGGCTGAGGCAGGAGAATCATTTGAACCCAGGTGGAGGTTGCAGTGAGCTGAGATTGCACCACTGCACTCCAGCCTGGGTGACAGAGCAAGACTCTGTCCCCACAAAAAAAATAAAAGAAAAACAAAAGGTCCACAAAGGGCCGGGTGTGGTGGCTCACGCCTGTAATCCCAGCACTTTGGGAGGCGGAGGTAGGCAGATCATTTGAGGTCAGGAGTTCGAGAGCAGCCTGGCCAACGTGGTGAAACCCCATCTCTACTAAAAATACAAAAATTAGGCCTGGAGTGATAGCTCACGCCTGTAATCCCAGTACATTGGGAGGCTGAGGTGGGCAGATCACCTGAGGTCAGGAGTTCAAGACCAGCCTGGCCAATATGGTGAAACCCCATCTCTACAAAAATACAAAAATTAGCTGGGCATGATGGCGGGTGCCTGTAATCCCAGCTACTTGGGAGGCTGAGGCAGGATAATAGCTTGAACCTGGAGAGTGAAGGTTGCAGTGAGCGGAGATCGTGCCATTGCACTCCAGCCTAGGTGACAGAGCGAGACTCCGTCTCAGAAAAAAATTAGCCGAGCTTCGTGGTGCATGCCTGTAATCCTAGCTACCTTGGAGGTTGAGGTACTAGAATCACATGAACCCAGAAGGTGGAGGTTGCAGTGAGCTGAGATTGTGCCATTGTACTGCAGCCTGGGTGACAGAGGGAAGCTGTCTCAAAAAAAAAAAAGGTCCATAAAGACATAATATTGAAAGAACTCTCTTCCAGTCTTGACTGCGGCCACTCAGTTCTGCAGAGACTACCAATGTTAAAATTTTGTTATGTCTCCTCCAGAGACATTCAGTACATATACCAATAAGGGCGTATATTTTCTCTTTTTCCTTATTCACATGGTAGCACACAATGTACTATGTACATGCTATGTGGGGCAATTTACCATGTCCACTTACTATCTTGAGGATCAGATATCAGTCCATAATAATGCATAATATTCCGTTTATGGATATAACTTCATTTACTTAATCAGTTTCATCTTAACCTTTATTTTTAATTTATTTCATTTCATTCCTTTCCCCTCCCCCTTCCCCTCCCCCCCACTTCCTTTCCCTTTCCCTTGCTCTATTCCCCAGGCTGGAGTGCAATGGCGCGATCTTGGCTCACTGCAATCTCCGTCTCCCGGGTTCAAGTGATTCTCTGGCCTCAGCTTCCCGAGTAGCTGGGATTACAGGCGCCCGCCACTACACCCGGCTAATGTTTGTATTTTTTTAGTAGAGACGAAGTTTTACCATGTTGGTCAGACTGGTCTCAAACTCCTGACCTCTGGTGATCTGCCCAAGTGATCTTCAAGTGGCCTCCCAAAGTGCTGGGATTACAGGCATGAGCTACTACGCCCGGCCTTAACAAATCTTTATGTTATTATTTTTTTTTTTTTGAGAAGGATTCTTGCTCTGTTGCCCAGGCTGGAGTGCAGTGGTGTGATCTTGGCTCACTGCAACCTCCACCTCCTGGATTTAAGCAATTCTCCTGTCTCAGCCTCCTGAGGAGCTGGGACTAGAGGTGCACGCTGCCACACTTGGCTAATTTAATTTTCTTTTGTATTTAGTAGAGACAGGGTTTCACCGTGTTGCCCAGGCTGGTCTCTAACTCTTGAGCTCAGGCAATCTACCTGCCTCAGCCTCCCAGAGTGCTAGGATTACAGGAGTGAGCCACCGCATCCGGCCCAAACCTTTATGTTATTTCTAATATTTGGTTATAAAAGAAGAGAGCTGTGATTACTAATGTTGACATATGTCATTTTGCACTTGTGCAGTGTGTTTGCTGAATACCGTCCTAGAGGTGGAATTCCTGGGTCGAGTTGTAGCTTTGATGGATATCGCCAAGTGGCTGGCCCTTTGCTTGTTTATACTCCCATCCACAATAGCATCATCACATTTACATTGCAGTGCCAGTGAACTATTTGGTCAAGGGCTCAGCTATTTGGCCAAGGTCATGACATTTACGGTGACATTGCCTTTTTATTATAAACAATCTATTTATTGACAGAAGATTTTTTTTTTCCCCATCTCATTCTGTGACCCAGGCTGGAGTACAGCAGCATGATCACAGCTCATTGCAGCCTTGAATCTCCTGGGTTCAAGCAATCCTACAACCTCAGCCTCCCAAGTAGCTGTGACCACAGCCACGTACCACCACTCAGAGCTAGTGTTTTGTTTTTTTTAGTTTTGTTTTGAGATGGGGTCTCACTCTGTCCCTCAGATTGGAGTGCAGCGATGTGATCTCGGCTCAAGGCAACCTCTGCCTCCTGGGCTCAAGCAGTCCTCCCATCTCAGCCTCCCAAACAGCTGGAACCACAGGTGTATGCTGCCATGCCCAGCAATTTTTTTTTTTGTATTTTTGGTAGAGGCAGGGTTTCTCCATGTTGCCTAGGCTGGTCTCAAACTCCTGAGTACAGGAGATCCACCCACCTCAGCCTCCCAAAGTGCTGGGATTATAGGTGTGAGCCATCATGCCTGGCTGGCACACAGCTAGTTTTTAAATTTTTGTAGAGATGGAATTGCCCTATTTTGCCCAGGCTGGTATGAAACTTAAGCGATTTTCCCACCTCAGCTTCCCAAAGTGCTGGGATTATAGGCATGAGCCACCATGCCTGGCCAACAGATTATTATTTTTTTTTTTAAGTTATGGTCATGCCCTGTTGTGGAATCCATGCAGCCATTTATTTATTTATTTATTTATTTATTTATTTATTTATTTATTTCAAACTTTCAGGATTTGTATTAAATCCTAGTTTTGTTTAACAGTATCTGATGTTATACACATCATCTCATGGTGAACATGTTTAATAAGTGAAAGCAAATCAGACAGCTCATCTAAGTCGTTATTTTTTGCAGACTAAACAGTAAGGTAATAATGATGGACACTTGCTCAGTGTTCATACAAGCTGTGTTGGTTATCAAAGTATATCTGCTAATGTTTAATAAAGAGAGTGAAATGTCATTGGGGTGGAAAAGTCAAATAAGCCTAGACATTTGGTTGGAAAAGAACAGATCCAGTATGGATTTCACAAACCAAAAGTTTGTGAAAACTCAGTGCAATACAAATCCTTTTTATCGTAAAAGCTTAGTTGAAACTAAAAGATCTGTAAAAACTATTACTTTGGGCCTTAAACAGTACCAGCTCTTAGGATCAAAAAAAGATCACAACTCCAGCCTGGGCAACATGGTGAAACCCCATCTATATTAAAGTACAAAAATTAGCTGGGTATGGTGGTGTGTGCCTGTAATCTCAGCTACTTAGGAGACTGAGGCAGGAGAATCTCCTGAACCAGGGAGTTGGAGGTTGCCATGAGCTGAGATTGTGCCACGGCACTCTAGCCTGGGAGACAGAATGAGACCCTGTCTCAAAAAAAAAAAAAAAAAAGGGCCACAACTGTTGAGATTATATTACTTGATTTTATTTTACACTAGGTGGTAGGTACAAAGCAATCCTCCTTAATAAAGTTGACAGCGTCCCTGAAAACTTTTGTTTTCAGACAGGGTCTTGCTCTGTCACCCAGACTAGAGCGATGCAATCATGACTCACCACAGCCTTGACTTCCTGGGCTCAAGGGATCCTCCTGCTTCAGCCTCCCAAGTAGGTGGAACCACACATGTACCCACCATGCCCGGCTAATTCTTTTTTTTTTTTTTTTAAATTTCTAGTAGAGACAAGGTCTCATTACCCAGGCTGGTTTTGAACTCCTGGACTCAAGCAGTTCTCCTGCCCCTTGTCCTCCCAAAATGCTGGGATTACAGGAGTGAGCCACTGCACTTGGACAGAACATATTTAATAATGCACATTTAAAACAAGTATTCATCTTACAAGTTGTTCTGTAATCCAAACACGACAGCTTGGAGAACAGCATTTAGAAAACAAAAGTCAGTGTAAAAAGACAGATTAAAACAACTAGAAGCCAGGCACAGTGGCTCATGCCTGTAATTCCAGCATTTAGCGAGGCTGAGGTAGGCAGATCACCTGAGGTCAGGAGTTCGAGACCAGCCTGGCCAACATGGTGAAACCCCATCTCTACTGAAATTAGCCTGGCATGGTGGGGTGCACCTGTAATCCCAGCTACTTGGGAGCCTGGGAGGCAGAGGCTACAGTGAGCCAAGATCACGCCGCTGCACTCCAGCCTGGGTGACAGAGTGAGACTCCATCTCAAAAACAAACTCAAAAAAACCCAACTAGGACAGTATAGGTTTTATATGGCTCAGACTTCATAGTTTTCTTACTGCATCATCAATGTATCGATGTAGAATATCTGTTCCAGGAAGGCACGGTGGCTGCCAAAGCGGGTGGCTTGCTTGAGCCCAGGAATTCAAACTCAGCCTTTGCAACATGGTGAGCCCCCATTTCTACTACAAAAAATACAAAAATTAGCCAGGCATGGTGATGCATGCCTGTAGTCCCAGCTATGTGGGAGGCTGAGGTGGGAGAATCACTTTACCCTTGGGAAGGTCTAGGCTGCAGTGAGCTGTGATCACACTACTGTACTCCAGCCTAGGTGACAGAGTGAGACCCTGACTCAAAAAAAAAAGAAAGAAAAAATAAAAGAAAAGAAATAAACCCTGTCTCTATTAAAAATACAAAAAATTAGCTGGGTATAGTCATGCATACCTGTAGTCCCAGCTGCTCAGGAGGCTGAGATGGGAGAATCACCTGAACCCAGGAAGTCAAGACTGCAGTGAGCCATGATTGCACCGCTGCATTCAAGCCTGATCAAAGGGAGTGAAACCTTGTCTGCTGTCTCAATAAATGAATGAATGAATGAATGAATGAATGAATGAGTGAATGAATGTTTCTTCAGCTGGCCCCTTTGCTCTGGATTTAAAGAAATACCTTTTCGGCCGGGTGCGGTGGCTCAAGCCTGTAATCCCAGCACTTTGGGAGGCCGAGACGGGAGGATCATGAGGTCAGGAGATCGAGACCATCCTGGCTAACACGGTGAAACCCCGTCTCTACTAAAAAATACAAAAAACTAGCCGGGCGAGGTGGCGGGCACCTGTAGTCCCAGCTACTCGGGAGGCTGAGGCAGGAGAATGGCGGGAACCCGGGAGGCGGAGCTTGCAGTGAGCTGAGATCCGGCCACAGCACTCCAGCCTGGGTGACAGAGCGAGACTCCGTCTCAAAAAAAAAAAAAAAAAGAAATACCTTTTCTTCTTGCTTTTATTTAACCTTTGAGATCCATCCAATAATATCTAATATCATCAATTAGCACTTCCCCTTTAACATCCCAAACACTAAGGTACTTCATTTTCCCAATCTGAAACATGTTATCAGCCGGGCACAGTGGCCTGTAATCTAATCACAGCACTTTGGGAGACCGAGGAGGGTGGATCACTTGAGACCAGGAGTTCGAGACCAGACTGGGCAACATGGTGAAACGCCATCTCTATATGAAATTTTAAAAAAACATTATTTCTGCTGCCGCTGCTCTGTTTGGAAGATGACAGAGCTCCCGAAGTTTTGCCAGTCTTTTGTTCCATTACAAGTTTTTCTGAAGCAACTTGCTTTTTCTTCCCTTTTTTTTTTTTTTTTTTTTGAGAGGGAGTCTCGCTCTGTCGCCCGGGCTGGAGTGCAGTGGCCGGATCTCAGCTCACTGCAAGCTCCACCTCCCGGGTTCACGCCATTCTCCTGCCTCAGCCTCCTGTGTAGCTGGGACTACAGGCGCCCGCCACCTCACCCGGCTAGTTTTTTTTGTATTTTTTAGTAGAGACGGGGTTTCACCGGGTTAGCCAGGATGATCTTGATCTCCTGACCTCGTGATCCGCCCGTCTCGGCCTCCCAAAGTGCTGGGATTACAGGCTTGAGCCACCGCGCCCGGCCTTCTTCTTTAACTTTTTGTCAACCTCACTGTCAGAATTGCTGCCAGAAGAGCTTGAAGAAGCAAATTCCTTTGATTTAGACATTGCGCTGCCCTGCTCCTGCAGCTGAACACCCTCCTGTTCACTCATGTGCAACTGACTCATTTTTAAAAACTTTTTTTTGGCTGGTTACAGTGGCTCACGCCTGTGATCCCAGCACTTTGAGAGGCCAAGGCAGGCAGTTCACCAGGTCAGAAGTTCGAGACCAGCCTTACCAACATGGTGAAACCCGTTTCTACTAAAAATACAAAACTTAGCCGGGCGTGGTCACAGGCACCTGTAATCCTAGCTACCATGAGACAGAGTACTGAGTACAGAGTACTGAGGCTGAGACAGGAGAATTGCTTGAACCCGGGAGGCGGAGGTTGTGGTGAGCCGAGGTCACGCCACTGCACTCCAGCCTAGGAGACAGAGTGAGACTCCATCTCAAAAAAAAAAAAGACCAACTTTTTTTTTTGAGATAGGGTCTCACCGTGTCACCCAGGCTAGAGAGCAGTGGCGCCATCATAGTTTACTGTGGCCTCAACCTCCTGGGCTCCAGTGATTCTTTTTTTTTTTTTTTTTTTTGAGATGGAGTGTTGCTCTGTCGCCCAGGCTGGAGTGCAGTGGCCGGATCTCAGCTCACTGCAAGCTCCACCTCCCGGGTTTACGCCATTCTCCTGCCTCAGCCTCCCGAGTAGGTGGGACTATAGGCGCCTGCCACCTCGCCCGGCTAGTTTTTTTGTATTTTTTAGTAGAGACGGGGTTTCATCATGTTAGCCAGGATGGTCTCGATCTCCTGACCTCGTGATCCTCCCGTCTCGGCCTCCCAAAGTGCTGGGATTACAGGCTTGAGCCACCGCGCCCGGCCCCAGTGATTCTTCTACCTTGGTCTCCCACGGATCTTGGACTACAGGAATGCACCACCATGCCTGGCTGATTTTGTTTCATTTTGTTTTGTAGAGACAGAGTCTCACTATGTTGCCCAGGCTGGTATTTTAAATTTTTAAGTAAGAGACAGGATTTTGCTATGTTACCCAGGCTGGTCTTAAACTCTAGAGGTCAGGCTGTCCTCGTACCATGACCTCCCAAAACACTGGGATTACAGACATGAGCAACGGTATCTAGTCCCATGCACCATTTATTGATTGATTGAACACTTAGCTGTGTCAAAGACTAACCTTACAAGCATTCCGTCTGTGTCTCAGAACGCTTTTGGGTAGTTAGCGGAATACCCTGTTAGAAGGGACAAACGATACTTTAACTCACAGATGAATCACCTGGGGACCTAGTTAATGTGCGGATTCTGACTCAGTAGGTCTGGGGTGGAGCCTGAGAGCCTGCATTTCTGACTGACTCCCAGGAGGCTGATGCTAGGGGCCCACAGACCACACTTTGAGTGGCCAGGACATCAATCATAGACGTTTGTCTTTTGATTCTGCACAAGGCTGGAGGTGGGTGGCTCCAGGATGAGACTAGCAGCGTAGGGATGCCAGGGCTCTATTTTGGCTTCTCTCTGCCTTCATTGCCTTCCCTCCCGCAATTGCAAGTAGCTGCGGCAGGTCTAAGCATGGTCCCCTCACAGGACAACATCCAAAGAGGACAGAAGTGGGGTAGTGGGAAATTTTAAGAAGGGATTTTCCTCCTGTGGCTGTCTCTCCTTGTCCTTTGGAGAGAAAAACCTTTCCCAGAACCTTAATTCTTCGTTACCCCCAAGGCGTGCTTTTCTTCACATCCTAGTGACTAGGATGGGGTTATATTCCTGCCTGGTCACTGGCATGGGGCAATAGGATCGCAAGATTGGCTATACCAATCAGGATTCAACCCCTCAGACTAAGCATTTTGCTATTTTCTTGTTAGCAAGGAAGAAGCATGGAATGGCTGGTAGATAGGCAGACATTCGTGTCTGCTACACCATGTTATCTCAGTTTTCCACACAACTGTATTATTATCCCCATTCTAGACTGAGGAAGCAGCTTGCAGCAGTAACTGACTTGCTTAAGGTCACACAGCTATGACAAAGGTAGGACTCTTGTCCATCATCCTGTCCATCAGCAGTACTCACGCTGCTCTGCTCCCCATCAGGTATGACAATAGGTGCCGGAACATGAGCCAGGAGCAGGTGGCCCAGAAGCTGGCCAAGGACCCCAAGCCTGCGATCCGCTTCCGCCTGGAGCAGGCAGCGCCAGCCTTTGAGGACCTGGTGTATGGCTGGAATAGGCATGATGTGGCCAGCGTGGAGGGAGACCCAGTCATCATGAAGAGCGACGGCTTCCCCACATACCACCTGGCCTGCGTGGTGGACGACCACCACATGGGCATCAGCCACGTGCTGCGAGGCTCCGAGTGGCTCGTCTCCACTGCCAAGCACCTGCTTCTCTACCAGGCCCTGGGCTGGCACCCACCCCACTTCGCCCACCTGCCCCTGCTCCTCAACAGGGATGGCAGCAAGCTCTCCAAGAGGCAAGGGGACATTTTCCTGGAGCACTTTGCTGCTGAAGGCTTCCTGCCCGATTCCTTGTTGGACATCATCACCAACTGTGGCTCAGGTTTTGCAGGTACCTGTCCACCTAAGTGGTCCCAGCAGCAGAGAGTGTGGCCAGGAGGAGCAGGGCTTTGGCTCAGATAGTCCTGCTGTTTGGTCCCAGCTTTGCCATCTACCAGCCGGGTGACCTTGGACAAGTTTATTCTTTTATTCAACAGATGTTTATTTTGCCAGATGCCGCATTAAGTGCTGGGGCTACAATAGTGAGCACGATAGACATGATCCCTGCCCTCAAGGGGCTTATAGTTTCTGAGCCTCAGTTGCATATCTGGAAAATGGGGATAAGTGTGTACTTCATAGGGTTAGGATTCACTGAGCTTAGGAGTGTAAGGTACCGAGCCCAGCACCTGTCACACAATAAGCACAAAAAATGACAGACCCTATGATTATGACAATTATTGCTACTATTACAAGCATGTATGCTAACAGTATGACTAGAACTAATATGGATCTACTTTCTTTTTTTCCTTCTTCATTTTACTGCCAGATGAATCTAGTTTATTTCAAGCTGAGCACTTATCCATGGTCCAAGACTTAGACCTAAACCTTGAAGAAGCAAGCATCAGATAGGATGACCTGAAGGATTTCTGAAAATGTGTCCAGAATAGTCTGCCTGCTGGTCTCACTTCATTTAATACAACATACTGTTAAGGGGTAGATACATGTCTCCACTGTTCATAAGAGGATTGTGAAGCTCAGAGAAGCTGAGTAACTTGCCAAAGTCACGCACCTAGTGAGGGATATAGTGCTTTAGGCCTATGCCTGATCACGGTGCCTGCTGACTGTGTGGGACTGAGCTGTTGCTTACAAGAAGCAGCTCCCAGCACCATGGTTCTTAACTTTTTTTTTTTTTGAAACAGAGTTTCGCTCTTGTACCCCAGGCTGGAGTGCAATGGTGCGATCTCGGCTCACTGCAACCTCCGCCCCCCGGGTTCAAGTGATTGTCCTGCCTCAGCCTCCCGAGTAGCTGGGATTACAGGCACCTGCCACCACGTCTGGCTGATTTTTGTATTTTTAGTAGAGATGAGGTTTCACCATGTTGTCCAGGCTGTTCTCGAACTCCTGACCTCAGGTGATCTGCCCGCCTTGGTGCTTGAGCCATTGCACCCGGCCTGGTTCTTAACTCTTGACTGTGCTTTGGAATCAACTAGGAAGCTTGTAAAATATGCCCAGACCCCAACCAAACCCAGTTGACTCAGACTCTCTGGTACAGCCAGGCAATGAGTGTACTGTTCTGCAGCTCGTGTCTTGAGAGTAATGGAAATGGGTTTAGCCTGATTGTTTTCAGACCCTTTTTTCATTAAAGACAGAACCCTTTCTGAAAATGAAAACCTATTCAGGCTCTAGATATATAAATAGCTAGAAGTGAAATCCCTTTGGGCAAAGTGGAATCGGGGGCCCAGGGCTTGCTTACTCAGCCTCCCTTATGTTTGAAAGTAGAAGGAGGGCGAGCGCAGTGGCTCATGCCTGTAATCCCAGCACTTTGGGAGGCCAACGCAGGAAGATCATTTGAACCTGGGAGTTTGAGACCAACCCAGGCAATATAGTGAAACTCCGTCTCTACAGAAAAATTTATTTATTTATTTATTTATTTGATGGAGTCTTACTCTGTTGCCCAGGCTGGAGTGCAATGGCACAATCTTAGCTTACTACAACTTCCGCCTCTCAGGTTCAAGTGATTTTCCTGCTTCAGCCTCTTGAGTAGCTGGGATTACAGGCGTGCGACACTACGCCTAGCTAATTTTTGTATTTTTAGTAGAGATGGGTTTCACCATGTTAGCCAGGCTAGTGTCGAACTCCTGACCTCATAATCTGCCCACCTCTGCCTCCCAAAATGCTGGTATTATAGGTGTGAGCCACCATGCCTGACCCTACAGAAAAATTTAAAAATTAGTCGGATGTGGCAGTATGTGCCTGTAGTTCCAGCTACTTGGAAGACAGGCTGGAGGATCGCTTAAGCCTGAGAGTTTGAGGTTACAGTGAGCTATGATTGTACCATTGCACTCCAGCCTGAGCAGCAGAGCAAGATCCTGTCTCTTAAAAAAAAAAAGAGATAAAGTGGAAGGAGGAAGGGAGGGAGGAAGCTGAATGGCTAGGCCTCTCTTCTTTGCAGAGAACCAAATGGGCAGGACCCTGCCGGAACTGATCACGCAGTTCAACCTGACCCGGGTCACCTGTCACTCAGCCCTGCTGGACCTGGAGAAGCTCCCAGAATTCAATAGGTAAGTGGGGATCATGGAGATCCCCTGGTGGGAAAGGGCTTTCTTGCTCAAGACAGTCCCTACAACAGAGGGTATAATGGACTCTGGTACCTAATTCTGTGTGACCACGGCTAAATCACCTAACCTTTTTGAGCCTCTCTTTCCTCTTCTCTAAAATGGGATTAATAACAGTAGCAATCTTATATGATTGTTCTATGAAACTATGTTGTATAGCCCTGGCACATACATAGTGCTCAGTAAATGGTATACATATATACATATATATATATATATATTTTTTTTTTTTTTTTTTTTGAGACGGAGTCTCACTCTGTTGCCCAGGCTGAAGTGCAATGGCACAATCTCAGCTCACTGCAACCTCTGCCTCCCGGATTCAAGCAATTCTCCTGCCTCAGCCTCCAAAGTAGCTGGGATTATAGGTGCCCACCACTACACCCGGCTGATTTTTTTGTATTTTCAGTAGGGATGGGGTTTCACCGTGTTAGTCAGGCAGGTCTCGAACTCCTGACCTCAGGTGATCCACCCGCCTTGGCCCCCCAAAGTGCTGGAATTACAGGCGTGAGCCACCGCGCCTGGCAGTACATATATATTTATCATTAGCGTTGTATTCCTAGCCACCCCTTGTGTGGACTCTGTTAAGAACCAAAGCCTGGAGAGGGGTATCTTCATTTTAGACTCACCTCCCCCCATCAGCCTTTCACCCAGCCAACACAGTGAGTGAGCACTGTCCAATGGCATCTACTTTATATTTCATGTATTTGATATTGCAAGTAGCTCTTCACTTGGAAACCTCCAAATATTGTTCCAACTCAAATCAGTGTTAACATGTCTGAGTCAAAGAGTATTAGTGTTGTCCAGGCATGGTGGCTCACACCTTTAATTCCAGCACTTTGGGAGGCCAAGGTTGGCAGATCACCTGAGGTCAGGAGTTCAAGACCAGCCTGGCCAACATGGTGAAACCCTATCTCTACTAAAAATACAAAAATTAGCTGGACATGGCACATGCTTGTAGTCCCAGCTACTTGGGAGGCTGAGGCAGGAGGATCACTTGAACCTGGGAGGCAGAGGTTGCAGTGAGACAGGATCACACCACTGCACTCCAGCCTGGGCAACAAAGTGAGATTCTGTCATTAAGAAAAGTTATTAGTGGTTAAGACCATCAGCCAGGTGTGCACCTGGGGTGAGGGTCTTACTGATACTTTGCCTAGAGCGCTGGTTTGGGGACACAGTATCCTCAGTGCATTTACTTGCATGAGCCCAGATAATTAACATCAGTTGCAGATATTTTAGGGCTGTTTATTTACTTCTTCCATCAGACTTATGATGAGGTCAGTTGCATGATTTTGCCCTGTTTTACATATGAGGAACCCAGGACATAGAGAGGTTAAGAAACTAGCCAAAGTTCACACAGTAAACAGTGGGCATCTTTTGAATGGGGCATTCAAGAGTGGATGTAGGCTGGGTGTGGTGGCTCACACCTGTAATCCCAGCACTTTGGGAGGCCGAGGCAGGTGGATCACCTGAGGTGAGGAATTTAAGATCAGCCTGGCCAACATGGTGAAACCCCATTTCTACTAAAAAATACAAAAAAAAAAAAAGGAGAGCCCGATGTGGTGGTGGGTGCCTGTAGTCCCAGCTACTCAGGAGGCTGAGACAGGAGAATCACTTGAACGGTGGAGGTTGCAGTGAGCCAAGATTGCACCATTACACTGCAGCCTGGGCAACAAGAGCAAAACTCCGTCTCAAAAAAAAAATGCCACTTTCTATATATTTTAGAGGCTGGGTCTTGCCCTGTCACCCAGGTTGGAGTGCAATGGTGACATCTCAGTTCACTGCAGCCTCAAACTCCCAGGCTGAAGTGATCCTTCCCCCTCAGCCTCTGGAGTAGCTGTCTGCAGGTGTGTACCACCATGCCAGGCTAAGTTTATTATTTTTAATATTTTTTTGTAGAGATGGCATCTCACTATTGTTGCCCAGGTTGGTCTCAAACTCCTGGCCTCAAGTGATCCTCCCTTCTCGGCCTCCCAAAGTTCTGGGATTAAGCAAGTCACTGCACCTGGCCAAAAGCTTCTCCAGGTCCAATAGGGCTGAGTGGCAGGTGACCTGGGAAGCCAAGGTTGCAGTGAGCGGAGATTGCACCACTGCACTGCAGCCTGGGCAACACAGTGAGGCTCCATCTCAAAAATAAATAAATAAAAATAAAATGTCAGCTACTATTTTGAAAACACTGAAAACGTGGCTGGGCATGGTGGCCCACACCTGTAATCCTGGCACTTTGGGAGGCCAAACTGGGTGGATTGCTTGTTGCCCAGCCTGGGCAACATAGCAAGACCCTGTCTCTACAAAAAATTAAGACATTAGCTGAGCATGGTGATATGTGTCTGTGGGCCCAGCTACTTGGGAGGGTGAGGTGGGAAGATCACTTGTGCCTCGGAGGTCTAGGCTGTAGTGAGCCATGATTGTGGTACTGCACTCCAGTCTGGGCAACAGAGCAAGACTCTCAAACAAAAACAAAAGCAAAACCCCTAAAAACAAAGCATGTCTCCAAGTTGCTTGGGACTTTCAGGCTATTTGTGACCTTAGTCACATCCATTTCTTTTTATAAATGTAAAGAGAATTCTACTTCTAGCTTGCGAAAGGGAGGGCTCATGGAACCTGATATGTCATTCTTCCAACTTCACCCTCTCCCCAGGGGAGAGACGGTTTGGGTGGGTTGGGGTGTTGACAGTAGGGCAGCCCCTTGATTTCTTCCGCAGGCTGCACCTCCAGCGGCTGGTGAACAATGAGAGCCAGAGGTGCCAGCTGGTGGAGAAGCTGCAGGCCCTTGTGGAGGAGGCCTTTGGGAGCCAACTGCAAAATAGGGATGTCCTCAACCCAATCTACATGGAGAGGATCCTCCTGCTGAGACAGGTGTGGTGTCAGGGGTCTGGGAGGCTGAGGGAGGGGCTACTGGGTGCTTCAATTCCTCCTCCCTTCCAGAGCCCTGTCGCTAGTGCATTCAATGACTGCCTCCTTCCCCAGGGTCACATTTGCCGCCTGCAGGACTTGGTGTCCCCAGTGTACTCTTATCTGTGGACTCGCCCTTCAGTGGGTCGAGCACAGCTGGACGCCATCTCGGAGGAGGTGGATGTGATTGCCAAGCGTGTGCTGGGGTGAGTACCCGCAGGCTGAACTCAGGATTCCACACCTTCCTTCCCCCTCTCCCTCCCATGGCTCCCTTTCCTTCAAGGTTAGGCTGTTGGGCCCCCAGCACAACCTCATGGCCAGTGAAAACGTGACCCTTCACTGGCTTTCATTGGTGGGAGGGCTTACCTGGAGGACCGGGCTTTCCCTGTACATAGGCCTGTGTTCACTGCTTGCACCAACCTGGTTGCATCCCAGCTCTGCCATGTACTCACCAGATTATGTCACCTTGCTCAGGCGGCTTCACTTTGGCCAAGTTACTGTACCTATTTGAGCTTCCTTTTCCTTCTTGGTAAGAGAGAGATGATGCTAATTCTTACTGTTAACAGTAATAACTTTCAATTACAAATGCAACCAAAGCTGACTTAGGCAAGAGGGGAATGATTGCTTATGTAGCTGCAGATGCTAGAAGAAGGGCTGCTGGAGGCACAGCTTAATGCAGGAGTCAGTACTCCATTACCAAGATTCGCTTTCTCTCTCTGCCTTTCCCCTTCTGCCCCTCCTCCCCGATGCTGACCACTTTTCCTGCAGAGGCTCTGTATCAGGTAACTAGAGGGCAAGTTTCTCTACCGGACAAAAGAAATGACAGCACACGTCCCCTGTGGAATTACATTTCTTCCTTATGTAGCAATCTGCAGGAAGTGGCTCAGGGCTCATCCTCCCACCTCAGCCTCTTGAGAAGCTGGGACTACAGGCACAGGTCACCACGCCCAGCTAATTTTTTTACTTTTTGTAGAGACAAGGTCTTGCCATGTTGCCCAGGCTGGTCTCAAACTCCTAGGCTCAAGCGATCTTCACGCCTCAGCCTCGCAGAGTACTAGGATTACAGGCGTGAGCCATGTGCCTGGCCGGGGCCTATTAGTTCTAATTCACCAGGATTCAGTGTCATAACTGCCTTTCTCCACCATGAGGCTGGATTTCAGATTTGCTCTGGGACTCCCTCTCGAGTCAGGAAAGCTGATATCCAAATGTTCAGGAGCTGCCAGATCACTAGAAATCCCTTCTATTCCCATGCCAAGCTCTGGGCCAGCTCTAGCGAGTCTGGAATTGCCATTTTTCCTAGCCTGGGGCCTGTCATTCTTTCATCAGCTCCTCGGCAGCCTGCTTCCCTGCAGTGCCACTGGGGAGAGTGTCTGCTTTTTTCTCACATTATATTTTATGTCTTCAGTATTTTATCTCCTGGATTTTGTAAATAGCAGTACTCATGTGACCCAGTTAATAATTGTCTCAGTCCGTAGGGTTGCTATAGCAAAATAACATAGACTGACGGCTTCAACAACAGACATTTCTTTCTCACAGTCTAGAGGCTAGAAGTCCAGGGTCAAGGTGCTGCTGATTCGATGTCTGGTGAGGGCCTTCTTCCTGGGCCCTTCCCTTTTCTGGCCCTTTGCTGTGTCCTCACATGGTGGAGGGATGGGGGACCTCTCTGGGGTGTCTTTTGTAAAGGCACTCATCTGTGCATGAGGGCTCTGCCCACATGACCTGATCACCTCCCAAAGCCCACACCTCTGAATACTGTCCCCTTGGGGGTTAAAATTTCAACATATGAATTTAGGGGAACACAAACACTCAGAACATAGAGATGATGCAGTAAGAATGATCACCCTTGTCTGAAATTGAAACTCATCTGCTTCAGTGCTGACAGTTAGTAAGGAAATCTGTCTGCACTGAAAGGCTGTTTCTTCAAATCACTTGTGAACCCGGTTCCCTGAGACAGTAGTGGTCCATACTGAGTTGACTTTGGAATGCAGTTGCCTGGACCATGTTTGAGCAGGCAGGGTCAGAATTGCCATCACAGATCATCTGCACCAGGAAGATGTCCAGCCTCAGTTCCTCTTCAGTGTCTCCGCTTTGGAATCTCCAGTAATAACTGAGGAGAGGCTGGGTGCTGTGGCTCATGCCTGTAATCCCAGTATTCTGGGAGGGTGAATGGGAGCATCACTTGAAGCCAGGAATTTGAGACCAGCCTCGGCAACATAGCTTGACCCCATCTCTACAAAAAGTAAAAATAAAATTAGCCAGGTATGGTGGTGGGCGCCTGTGGTCCAAGCTGCTCAGGAGGCTGAGGTGGGAGGATTGTTTGAGCCCAGGAGTCTGAGGCTGCAGTGAGCTGTGATCGTACTACTGCATTCCAGCCTATGTGACAGAGCAAGATCCTTTCCCTTTAAAAAAAAAAAAATTAATGTTTTTGAAAAATGAGAGGAACTGGGAAGTTGCAGTGAAATATACTCATCCCCAGCCTATTCCCATCTCTTGACTAAGAATCAGGGCCAGGGCAGATTTTTGCAAGTCCAGTTCTAACTGATTGGAGAATTTCTCCTGAAACTAAAGCTTTTGGGGAGAGCATCTTGCTCAGCTGGACTGCCAGGATGTGGGGGTTGGTTGCTGGCCCGTTGGAATCCTAGAGGCTTCAATTTGTGGAAGAACAGCCATAGCAAGTTGGTGGCAGGACCATTGCTGGAGCTGGGTGGGGACTTCTGATTTCTTCTCTTCTTGGCTACGTCTCCAAAGAAGTCTCCCTCTACCAATATTAAAGCTATATTTCAGATAATTTCCCAGAAATTATCCATTCTATGTCAAATCTATTCCTAAGTTTCTTTTTTGTCGTGCCTACAAGCAGACCTGTTTTTTTTTTTTTTTTTTTTTTTTTTTTTTTTTTTTTTTTTTTTTTTTTTTTTTTTTTTTTTTTTTTTTTTTCTTTAAGATCATTTTGTAATGTCTCAAAGCTCTTGAATGTACTTAACTAATTTCTTAAATTTTTAAATTCAAATACAAAATGTAATACTTGGCCAGGCATGGTGGCCCATGCCTATAATCCCAGCACTTTGGGGGGCCAGGGTGGGTGGATCACCTGAGGTTAGGAGTTTGAGACCAGCCTGATCAACATGGTAAAACGCTGTCTCTACTAAAAATACAAAATAAGCTGGGCAGGGTGGCATGTGCCTGTAATCCCAGCTACTCAGGAGGCCAAGGCAGGAGAATCACTTGAACCCGGAAGGTGGAAGTTGCAGTGAGCTGAAATCGTGCCATTGCACTCCAGCCTGGGCAACAGAGTGAGACTCCATCTCAAAAAAAAAAAAAAAAAGTACTATTTCTGAATATTTATCATGTGTTCAGGCACTTGGTGCTTTATAACTCTTTTTAACTCTCTAGGATATCCCTGTGCAGGACAGATACTATTATTTATTTATTTTTTTATTTTGAGACAAAGTCTCACTCTGTCGCCCAGGCTGGAGTGCAATGGTGCTATCTCGGCTCACTGCAACCTCCTCCTGGGTTCAAGCAATTCTCCTGCCTCAGCCTCCTGAGTAGCTGGGACTACAGGCGCCCACCACCACCCTTGACTAATATTTTTGTATTTTTAGTAGAAATGGGGTTTTACTATGTTGGCCAGGTTGGTCTCGAACTCCTGACCTCAAGTGATCTGCCCGCCTCAGCCTCCCAAAGTGCTGGGATTACAGGCGTGAGCCACTGTGCCAGCCTCAGATACTATTATTCTCCCCACTTTACAGATGAGAAAACTGAGGCATAAAGATTGAATGACACAGAGGTAGCAATGAGTAAAGCCTCTTATGGCACCTCTTACCTCCCTGCATTGTGACCACTGGCTTCTCTGTGTGTGGTCCCTTGGTAGTTTTTCCTTCTCGACCTGGATAAGGGAGAAAGTGGTCAATATCTTCCTCATCTCCCTCAAAACAGGCTTGAACATTGGTTGTGCTGCTTGTACTGTAGCTGATCAATAACCTTCTGAAGCCCTTCCTCCCACCCACTTGCCATTGGCCCATGCAGACCCTGTAAACTGGCCCTCTTCTTCTAGGCTTCTAGAAAGATCTGGTATGAGCTTAACTCAGGATATGCTGAGTGGAGAACTGAAGAAGCTATCAGAAGGTCTGGAAGGCACCAAGCACAGTAATGTGATGAAACTCCTCCGGGTGGCCCTCAGTGGACAGCAGGTGAGGCAGGGACACAGGTTGGATTGTTCCCTGGAGCCCCTCATTGATCCTTTGAACTTGTTTCCTGGCAGGCACTGAGCTCAATGTTCAAGGTACAAGGATGAAAGAAATATGATCACTCCCCTCATTCAGTCAATCAACAGACACTATTGAGTACCTACTATGTGCAAGCATTGTGTTAGGTACAGTGGATACAGTATAGAATGAAACACATATTCATAATCTCTGCCTTCATGGGGTTTGCAGTTTATTGGGGATAACAGACCTAACAACAGCTTACTTAATATGGGAAAAACAGGCCAGGCATGGTGGCTCACACCTGTAATCCCAGCACTTTGGGAGGCCTAGGCAGGTGGATCATCTGAGGTCAGGAGTTTGAGACCAGCCTGGGCAACATGGTGAAACCTTGTGTCTACTAAAATTACAAAAAATTAGCTGGGTGTGGTGGTGTGCCTGTAATCCCAGCTACTTGGGAGGGTGAGGCACAAGAATTGCCTGAATCTGGGAGGCAGAGGTTGCAGTGAGCCAAGATCGTATCATTGTATTCCAGCCTGGGCGATAGAGTGAGACTCTATCTCAAAAAAAAGGCTGTGGTTGGGGGAGAAACAGGCTCCTAGGACCCATCCTTGTCCAGGGAAATAACACAAGCATGGATCCTCAGAACACAGGCAGCAGTGTGGGGGCTGGCCTGGGAATAATTTCTGCAGACTGAGGCTAAGCTTCAGTTCTTTAGGCAGTTTAAGGTAGTAAGGCAATATTTGCTCTTTTTGTTCTCAGCAAGGACCTCCTGTAGCTGAGATGATGTTGTCCTTGGGACCAAAGGAAGTGCGGGAACGGATCCAGAAGGTGGTTTCCAGCTAGGGAGAGGATGTGTCGGGCAATGGAGATCGCCCTGAGAACCTGTGAGCTTAGAAACAGCTTTCAGAGACCAGAAGGAGGACTGGGGCCTGTTGGGAAGTTTGCCGAAGGAACTAAGAGTGGAAACAATTTCTGGCTGCACACAAGTGCATTTATGGATCCACCACCGGCCCGTCCTTGTCAGCTGGCTGGGGAAGCCCAACCCATCTAACCTCCTTGACTCTGGAAAGGCATTCTCTGGGTCTGGTTTCTCACACATTACACAGCAGAGGTTTGGAGTTAGTTCATAGAAAAGCTAACATCCCGGAACAATGCAGAAGCCCTGGGTTTCAGTTTGCTGGGGTCCCCATAACAAAATGCCACAGAACCAGGTGGTTTAAACAACGGGGATTTATTTTCTTATATTTCCGGAGGCTAGAGGTTCAAGATCAAGGTGGCAGGCCTGGTTTTTCCTGAAGGCCTCTTTTCTTGACTTGCAGACAGCTGTCTTCTCACTGTGTCCTTGTGCGGTCTTCCCTCCATGCATACACATCTCTGGTTTCATTATGTGCCCAACGTTCCTCTTCTAAGAATACCAGTTGCACTGGATTTTAACTTTAACCAACCTCATTTTAACTTAATCACTTCTTTAAATGCTCATTCTCCAAGTAAAGTCTCATTCTGAGGTGCTGGGGGTTTCTCAACGTAAGAATTTAGAGGGACACAATTCAGCCTATAGAAGCTGGGCAGTGGGACTCATGGGTCCCAGTTCTCAGGCCCCAAGGACTCAGAGCAGTAAAGGATATGTGACACAAGCAGGGCTGAACTGGATGCCAGCCTTTCTTTGGGGTTGTAAAAGGAGAAGTGACTCCACTGCCAAGGGTAAGCGCTCTTGTCTTATGCTACCCTTTATTCTTGAGCCTTGGGGCAGCCTGTGTCTCCCTTCCCTAAACGTCATATGTTCCGTTTTTCCAGTCTTCCAGACCTGGTCCTTGGACTGGAGATCTCCACCCTGCCTATTTTGTGGCTTTCTCTTCAAATCCACCTCTTCCTTCCTCCATGACTTATAAGTCGTCATCTCTGCTGGTTTCTGAAATGAGATATGCTTCTTGGGGTCTTCAGTGAAGAGGAGTAGCAAGTGAAAGGAGGATGGTGGCGGGGTAGACAAACCCCTACAAGGCTTCTAGGCTTCCCCTGCATGGTAGCCAGCCTCTAAGTTGGCCCCCAAGCATCCCTGCCTTTTTCTATTCACATCCTTGTGTGGTTCCCTCCCCCATTGAATAGGCCTGACTTGTGTAACCGCTACACTATTGAAGAAATGGAGAGTTTGGCTTCTGAGGGTAAGTTGTGAAATACATCATGCCTTCTGTCTTGTTCTCTTTGATTGCTTACTTTGGGGGAAGTCAGCTTCCAGGTCATGAAAATACTTAAGCAGCCTTATGGGGTGCTCCACATGACAAGGGATCGAGCCTCCCACCAACAGCCATGGAAGTGCGCCATCTTGGAATCCGGTCCTCCAATTCCAGCCAAGCAGCCACATGACTGCAGTCCTGGCTGATCTCGTTTGTGACTCCGAGCCAGAACAACTCAGAGAAGCTGCCCTGGAATTTTCAGACACACATGAACTGTGAGATAGTGAATGTTTATTGTTTAAAGCTACTTGGTTTGGGGATAATTTGCGCTCCAGCAGTAGACAATTAATATATTTATTTTGTCCAGGGGAGTGGAAAGGCGATTACAGAGTTTGTTGAGCCCCATAGAGTCCTAGTCTTTGCTTAAAGAATATACCAGTTCTTTCTGATACAGAATCCATTAAGTTCGTTGGTTGCAAACAATAGAAACCAGCTCTGCCTCACTTATGTTTATTGGAGGCCATAAGAGAGCCACAGCATCTACGGAAAAGCCAAAAAACCAGGTCTTGGAATAGACAGGAATTGGCTACAGGAGTTAATGGCCAGTCTTGTCTGAGTTCTTTGGTGGCAACACATGAACTACAACCGTTTTGCTGTTGTTAATTTCTCCGTGTTTTCCCCTCAGTTTTGGATAACTCTGCTCAAGGTTCAGATTCTGAGGAGCGAGTATCTGTTGGGGTAGCTGAGGTCTTGCTACCATTCCTTGGCCAGTAATAGGTAGTTTCACAGGGATTATATGCAACGGATGAAAAGTTGTTCCCAAGGAAAACTAGGGAGCTTTCTCCAGAAGATGTAATGGCAGAAACAACAAATAGCTGTTGACCACAGAAGGGGACAATAATAACAATATTTTAATTTATCGTGCATTTACATGAGCCTCACCCACTCCCAGGTGTCAGATAATGCTCATAAATGCCTTAATCCATCCTGAGATACTTTCTATCTCAGTAAATTTTTTTTATAACACTATGAGAGAAGCAGTGTTTTTATTTTTCTGTTACAGATATGGAAACCGTGGCTCTGAAAAGTTAACTAAAGCTTTTGAGGCTATAGTACAAGGCAAAAACCAAGACTTAAACTCAGATCTGTGCAGATCCAGAGTCCAAGCTTAACCTGATCTACTGAGTTTTGTCAGAGCATGTGTTTCTAAGACATTAAGAATGGTTACAAGGAGCTCCTTGGCTCACAGTCAAGAGAGAGTTTTTAACAAAGTGAGTGGTCAAAATACTAAGTCGAATCTGGTATATCTACAATATGGATGAACCTCTAGGACTTCATGCTAAATGAAATGTTAGTCACAAAAGGACAAATACTTCCTAACGCTTTGTGAGGCAAAGGTGGCAGGCTTGTCAAAGGCCAGGAGTTTGAGACCAGCCTGGGCAACATAGTGAGATCCTGTCTCTACAAAAAACTTAAAACTTAGCCAGGTGAGGTGACATATGCCTGTAGTCCCAGCTACTTGGGAGACTAAGGTAGGAGGATCATGTGAACTGAGGAGTTAAGGCTGTCGTGAGCTATGAATGCACCACTGCACTCTAGCCTGGGCAACAGAGCAAGATCCTGTGTCTAAAAATGAATAGGCTGGGCACGGTGGCTCACGCCTGTAATCCCAGCACTTTGGGACGCCAAGGCAGACGGATCACAAGGTCAGGAGATGGAGACCATTGTGGCTAACATGGTGAAACCCCGTCTCTGCTAAAAAATACAAAAAATTAGCTGGGCATGGTGGCAGGTGTCTGTAGTCCCAGCTACTCGGGAGGCTGAGGCAGGAGAATGGCATGAACCCAGGAGGCGGAGCTTGCAGTGAGTGGAGATCGCGCCACTGGACTCCAACCTGGGCGACAGAGTGAGACTCCATCTCAAAAAAAAAATGAATAAAATAAAGTTAAAAGGATAGATACCATAAGATTCTACTTATTCAAAGTACTTAAAATAATCAAAATTATAGAGGCAGAAAGTAGAATGGTGGTTGTCAGACTTGGGGAGGCAGAAATGGGAAGTTACTGTTTAGGGTATAGAGTTTCAGTTTTACAAGATGAAAAGTTACGGGGGTGGATGGTGGTGATAATTGCACAACATTATAAAGATATGTAACGCCACTGAACTGTATACTTAAAAATGACTGAGATGGTAAATTTTATGTTTTTCTGTATTTTACCATAGTTTTTAAAAAATACTAAATTAGAGCTGGGCATGGTGACTCACACCTATAGTCCCAACGTTTTGGGAGGCCAAGGCAGGTAGATCACTTGAGGCTGGGAGTTCAAGACCAGCCTGGCCAACATGGTAAAACCCTATCTCTACTAAAAGTACAAAAATTAGCCAGGTGTGGTGGCTCATACCTATAATCCCAGCTACTTGGGTGGCTGAGGCACAAGAATCTCTTGAACCCCCCAGAAGGGGAGGTTGCAGCGAGCCAAGATCACACCATTGTACTCCAGCCTGGAGAACAGAGCGACACTCTGTCTCAAAAAAAAAAAAAATTAATAAAAAAGCGAAATTAATAAAGCTGCTGCTACTTCTTCCTCATGTGGAGTGTGCTGTGCTATGTTGAAAGCAGCTCCAGGCGTCTTGTCTTCTGTTTGGGGGTTTTGCTCAGGATCAGTAAGACTAGTTTATTGTTTTGTTTTGTTTTGTTTTGTTTTTTTAAGAGAGAGGATGTTGCTCTCTTGTCCAGACTGGAATGCAGTGGCACAATTATAGCTCACTGCAGCTCTAACTCCTGGGCTCAAGAGATCCTCCCATCTCAGCTTTCTGAGTAGCTGAAATCACAGGTGTATGCTACCACACCTGGCTAAGTAAAAGTGTTTGAAGGAATTTCATACATTTTAAATAACCTCAAGCCCATCCCCGGTGTTTTGAGAGTATACTGCAGCGGTGAAGGGCACAGAGGCTGTCTAGATTCAGAAACATTCTGCCCCTTATTCACGTGTGACTTTCTGTACCTCAGTTTCCTTGTTTGCAAAATAGGGATAAGAATTGTACCTGTCTCAAAGAGTTGTAAGGATTGGAATAGATAATATATATGAAGTTCTTTTTTTTTTTTTTTTTTTTTTTGAGACAGAGTTTCACTCCTGTTGCTCAGGCTGGCATGCAATGGCACGATCTCGGCTCACTGCAACCTCCGCCTCCCAGGTTCAAATGATTCTCCTGCCTCAGCCTTCCAGGTAGCTGGGATTACAGGCATGTGCCATGTGCTGCCATAGCCAGCTAATTTTGTATTTTTAGTAGAGATGGGGTTTCTCCATGTTGGTCAGGCTGGTCTCGAACTCCCGACCTTAGGTGATCTTCCCGCCTCAGTCTCCCAAAGTGCTGGGATTGAGCCACGATGCCTGGCATGAGCCACGATGCCTGGCAACATATATGAAGTTCTTAGAACATTGCATGGCATTTAATAAATGTTAGGTATCACTATCACCATTATTTTCATCCTTAGAAACAGTGATCTTGGTGGCAATGCGTATAAACACACTCAGACTAACTGAAACCATGAAAGGAATTTATTGGAAGAATTAGGACTCTCACAGATATAAAGGGCAGGACTTCCAACTGGACCTCACAAGAGAATGGAATCTGTACCTAGAAACCTGTTGGGACCAAAGGCAGCCACTCGGCCCTCTGAGATGGCACATTTTCTAACATTCACCCCTCTTTGTGTGTCTGCTCTTCCTCTGAGATGGCACAGTTTCTAACATTCACCCCTCTGTGTGTGTCTGCTCCCCTTGTTTTCCCTCTGCAGGCTGCCTCTCTCTTTATCTCTGCACTTGGCCAACAAATGCCCCAGCCCTGAAGCTAAATCATCTCTCTTCTCCTACACCACCAATTAAATAACCAGTATTCCACATACAAACTCGCAGGGGAGTATCTGATTGGCCTAGCCTGGGTCAGGTGTCTACCCCTGGTCCAATCAGCTATGGTCAGTGGGAGTCATATTCTATGATCATGGCTGCAGGGGACTCGCTTTAGTGAGTGGGAAACCAGTTCCTTGCTCTGAGCATGTTCTTTTTCAGTGTTGTTTAGAGAGTATCCTTTCCAGGGCTGGGCATGGTGGCTCACGCATGTAATCCCAGCACATTGGGAGGCCGAGGCCGGTGGATCACTTGAGCCCAGGAATTCGAGACCAACCTAGAAAACATGGTGAAACCCTGTTTCTACAAAAAAAAAAAAAAAAAAAAAATTAGTGGTGTGTAGTGATGCACACCTGTAATCCCAGCTACTGGAGTGGCTGAGGTGGGAGGATCACCTGAGCCCAGGGAGGTGGAGGCTGCAGTGAGCCAGAATAGTGCCATTGTACTTCAGGCAGGGTGACAGAGCAAGACTGTCTCAACAAAAGAAAAAAAAAAAGTGTCCTTTCCCCTTTCCAGAAAATTACATATTTATAGCCAAATTTGGAATTCCATTCATACTGCCTTTATCCTACTTTATTTTTGCCCTCATAGTACTCTTTACTATATGAAATTACATATTGTATTTGTATGTATTTACTCTCTATCTTACTCAAAAGAATATGAGATTATGGCAGTAAGGAAGTCAGTCTTTTAGTATAACCATAGCACCTGGCACGTTGCCAGATACATAGTAAGGGTCAAGATCTCAAGAGGAAAAAAATGTTAGAGGACTATATTAGTAAGATGAGTTTCTTCAGAAGTGGCACTCATCAGCTGGTCTAACTGCCAGACTCTTAACAGTTACCAGTATCACTTCCATCTAAGTGGGGAAATCTTTCCTCTTTCGCAAGATTTGCCGTTATAATTAGCAGTCCAGTCTGTGGCCTGTAATTTGCATTGAATCCAGCTATCTGGGAGAGACTACCTTTGACAAAGCTTGGAAGTGAAGGATGGGGACAGATGACGGACAGATGACGGATATATGTTTAGTGGGGACTAAAATTAGAAGTTGTTGGCTGGGTGTGGTGCCTCACTCCTGTAATCCCAGCACTTTGGGAGGCCGATGGGGGAGGATCGCTTGAGCACAGGAGTTTGAGACCAGCCTAGGCAACATGGTGAAACCCCCCCATCTCTACAAAAAAATACAGAAATTAGCTGAGCATTGTGAGCACTTGTGGTCCCAGCTACTTGAGAGGCTGAGGCGGGCGGATAGCTGGGCCTTTACAGACTAAGTGACCTTTGAACTGGGTTCTGGGGGATGAGTAGGAGTTTCCCAGGTAGATGGGGGTTGGAAGGATATTCCAAGGAGAGGGATGAAAAATAACGCTTCACAAAGTTGGTCAGGACTGGACCAAGGGTAGGAGTTGGGAGAGAGGTAGAAGTGGCTGCTGAGAAACCAGGCAGATGTGAGATCCAAATGGCTCTTCTTTGACTGGTTAAAGGTATAAGTGTTTCATCCCATGCAAATAATAAAACCCAGATTCAATAGAAAAAAATTGGCTGG